TGCTCAGCCAGGTAGGACGGATTTCCCGTTAGCCTAGCTACTACTTGGTGTGTCCACAGGCAGTGTATAGTAGAACAGCTCCAGCTACTATTTGCAAGCTCTGTGGTATGTCGGATAAGCAACCGCGAATCAGTAATGATAATACTATCAGGGAGTGGGGGTTTCAGGTCTGGCCATCGAACTACCTTGTAAATTGTCTCAAAGCCCTTCGACAACAATTTTCTATTGCATTCGTGAATAGCCACTAAATAAGTTTGTTTGAAAACGCTTCCTCATGGTTAGTGCTAGTATATTTCCTGAATATACGCACCCGAGGTCAAATGTTATGTCAAAAAGCAGTTGAAATAATTTGATTGTCTCTGTGATTCTATAGAAATAAACAGTAAGATTAACAGAGCATGACAGGTAAAAGGTGACATAGAAACTAAAAAGAGGGTGTGTATACATTCGAGCTGCTTAGACGAGCAGTCGTGTAAGTGACACAGACGCGTGGCTGTCAGTGTTTATAAGTAAATAAGGACAAAGGGCTGGTTACAAAGAACGAGGGGAGACAACGAATGGGAAGGCAGCCAACGAGGACATGAGGCACAGCACATGCGCTAAGAATTGACATGGGCTTAAGGAGTCAATCCTGAACAAACAATCCACGCAGCAGTTGGGTACCCGTCCATAGCCGAACTTCACCAGAGGCCGGCTAAATCGGTCAAAAAAGAAGTTCTACCAAACATAAGTATAATGTGTTAATTTTCGTATGTATTTGAAACTTTCTTAATCTAACCCGTCTGTTCTTATGGTGTTACTTATTAACTGACAAATTTGACTAATATGGTTATCTTTGAAACACTACCAAGGCAGGCATTGCGACCCCTTTGCTCCAACACAACATCTCTTGTTGTTTGTAAATCCCGCATTGCATTCAATCAAAATGCCTGCTTGCCACTTTTTTGTTTACCTCGAGCCGCTTAATACAGGCGTATTTGGGCTTTATCCTATTTTTTTCACACCACGCTTCAACCGGGAGACATTACGACAGTCTTTAGGTCCAATAAGCCTCACCACTTGATGAATAATTGTTTGGCCTTCCTTGCTAAGTTATTAGTTGGTGGTTTGCAAATTGTAGCAGTCTTACTGACCCATTTAGAAATAATTCAAAACAGGAACAGAAACGTCAATGCTCAACGTCATCCACCACTCCAACCAACCTACCTGCGAGGCTACAACCACGAGCTATTTTCAAATTTTGGCTGGTCGTACTGAAGCTTTATAGCTTTCGCATTTGAATCATTCACTGTTACATAGCTTTACAACTTACACTTACTTGTACTAACTTGTAACGGCATTCACCTCGGGCGGGTTGAGCCGGCATCAGTTTTGACGT